TAAAATGAGTCATTACTTCAGCATAAGGATTCTTGGACCAATCAGCTGTATAATGCCTTGCCTTTCATTCTGCACATGTAACGTATGTGCAAGTGAAGCTTCCTAAAGGAAGCTGAACTCTGTGTGCCTGTTCATGGGAAGCTGCATTCCTCAAGATGTTAACTCAATCTGTGCAATACATTATATAATTACGAAAAGTAGGCCAGAAATTATATCCACTATTCTGAGCACTGCGCAGGCCTTTGTCTTTGGGGATTTAGCAAATGGAAAGCAGCACAAAAATACGCAGTTCTTTCAAAAGTTGGACTATTGCAGACTCTGGGTTTTTCTGGTACTGGAATATTTCAGGAGTTCAGCAATGTCAAAGCCATGTTTGGAATTAATGTCAGGCTTGCCTGGCAGCAGAGTAACAGAAGTCTTACTGAAAGACTGCACAAAAATAACTGATAGAGTGATGTGCTCACCAATGCTTCCTAAGAAAACCGGGGTTTTGCTTTTTTATATTTGAGTATGTAGACCTAATTGCTACAGCAGATATTCAGATACAACACAGCCTGCTGCATATCTTCCAACATACCTGCATTTACACAAACCATTGCTAGCTCCTACCTTAGCATTAATTTTTATTATACATTTGTCACATTTATAGGAATTACCGGTATATTAGAAACATGAATAACTAGGATTTAATTTTTTGAACAAATAATAATAATAATAATAAAAATTATTACAGTCCCAGACCAGGGATTGTTTTTGAACGAATTCTAGAATAGTAGCTATGTTTGTCTCTATTGGGACACGAGTGGCTCTGTGGGTTAAACCACAGAGCCTAGGACGTGCCGATCAGAAGGTCGGCGGTTTGAATCCCTGCGACGGGGTGAGCTCCCGTTGCTCGGTCCCTGCTCCTGCCAACCTAGCAGTTCAAAAGCACGTCAAAGTGCAAGTAGATAAATAGGTACCGCTCTGGCGAGAAGGTAAACGGCGTTTCCGTGCGCTGCTCTGGTTCGCCAGAAGTGGCTTAGTCATGCTGGCCACATGACCTGGAAGCTGTACACTGGCTCCCTCGGCCAATAAAGCGAGATGAGCGCTGCAACCCCAGAGTCGGCCACGACTGGACCTAATAGTCAGGGGTCCCTTTACCTTTACCTTGTCTCTATCAGCAAAAAGATAAAGAAGGTTATGACACCATTGACTCTAACGGGTAGCATGTATGGCAGCCAATGTCTGCGGTGTCGGTTTTGCCGATTCTCCATAAAGGTAACTCAAAAATGTTGAGGGTTTTTTTGGGTAGTTTTTTTTGCAATTTCAACAACTTTTCAATGTTTGGAATACAGCAACCCTACCAATGGGACTTACTCCCAAATAATTATTCTGTAGAACAGCAGCATAGGATCTCCTGCATGCAAAAATGCTGTCACATGGAGACTCCTTAAAACTACATTCATGTCACAACTGCTCTGTTCAGTAAGTTACCCATGTACAGTAGCCTGCCATGTATATTAGGTGCCATGCAGTTTCCACCACAGTTTCCACCTACACACAGGAATGCTCTGCTTTACAGCAACTGGTCCACACAGTGTGTCATTGACTTGCCACACAGAACAGGTAATGAGTCGTTATCTTATTTGAATGATCATTTTTAGCCTATAGCAGCTCCTAGCTAATAAAGACTATGGGTGAATTCCAATATACAGCAGCCACAAAATAAAGCCTTTATGCAAACATGTTATGCAATAGCATCATTAATTCAATTTGGTTCAAATTTTAAAACAACCCTACCTAATTCATACTTCCCAGAACAAAACATGAACTGAAGCACTAGCTGCTCTTCAGAATTAATATTTCCATGAATTTTGTGATGCAGTTGTCCAACCAAGTAATGTGTAGAACAATGCATATATTGGGGGGAAATGTGCATAAAACTACATGTGTTACTTAAAATGCTTAGTTAAAATGCATATATTATTTAAAATTACCTACAAAAAGCATTGCATTAGAGAAAACTGCTTATCCAAATGTGTATATAAGGAGAAATTCACACTAAAATGCCCACAAATTCTCACGGGGACTGAAAAAGAAATCCAAGCCATTGCAGAAATGTGTAGAATTGAACTTAAGACTAGAAAACTAAGAAACTGAGAGAAACTGAAATTGACAGATTCATCTACCCCTACTGTCAGGGAACTGCCATCAGTGCCGGAGGGAGAGAGCAAAAGCCAGAGGGATTCCAGAGGGCATCCAGGGATCGGGAGAAGCAGCCCATCTTCTGGGGAAGAGAATCAGCATAGCACCAGTGGAGAAGGGGGGCAGGTGGGGGAAGTGGCGAGGCGGTCCCATGACTCCTTGCCTGGGACCAGCGGGGAGACTAGGGGTCCTCCGTTGCCCACACCCTCCCTGCGCAGAAGGCTTCCGCACAGAGAGGGTAGGCGGAGACTAGGCGTCAAAGAACTTCTTTGCTGGAAGAGGTTTAAGAAACGCCCACTCACGGATTCTGCCAGCGATTGAGTCAGCCATGGGCAAGTGGCTGTCCGGACAGAGGAGGTTCACTTTGGCAACCCAGCCAGGTGTTTGCACCCAGCCACGAAGATAGGCACCTGCTTACGCACAAGCAACCCCCTTAGGAACCATTACACCTACCTATGATATTCACCTCCTGTTCTTTCTGTAGGTAGACAAATGACCCCTTACTGAAGTCAAGGCATCTCAAAACGACTGTGCCTTGCACACAAAGGGGGGAAGATAGTTCTCCAAAGCAGACCACGCTCTGTTAACTTTAAGAAGCAGAGGACAGAACTGAGGCAGCTTCTGTATATCCAGCACACCTTCCTGTCCTCCTGCTGCTATGTTTATTCCAAATTTATTATTACATGAGTCTCTGAACTGAGAGATTTCATTAACTTAAAAGCAACACATGGCTACACATAAGACAGTTTGGCACACAGACCTTCAGCAGAATCTCATTAAAGACACAATCTTGATTTGTGAATAATTTATACTGACATCATCACCTAAAATTATTAATTGTATGGCTCTAATTTCAAGATTTAACCTAATGCAGTGGGGGTGGGTGGGACTTTTTTAAAGAGGGTATGTAAGTTCAGAAGACTTCTGCTCCAATCTGAACAAGCTGTCTAATCTGAACATAGCTTGAGTGCAAATTCAAAATGATTTTTTTAAAAAAATTAAAAATATAATAATAATTACATTTCTACACTGCTCTTTAGCTGAAGATCAGAGGGTGGTTTACAATATAAAAACACAAAAATACTGTACATTACTTAATAACAATACTCCCCAGTGTTCTTATTTACAATAAGACATATCCATTTTTAGCACTATATAATACAGGGCAAAAGAATAAAGAAACAGCCTTCCTTCTAATACTAATCCAAGACCTATTTAGAATAAAAGCATTTGTATACCACTTGCTCCTTGCTGAAAGTGTTTTACCTTTATTGTCTTATTTACTACAACAAACCTGAAATACAAGTCAGTGTTATTTTTGTTATTAATAGTTTATAAAAGTTTTAACAGTATATAAAATGATAAAAAACCTTTTTCATAAATTCCCATAACTTTATAGTATTCTGAACCAGCTCAAGATTACTCATTTACTTTAAAACAAATGATAGCCGATCTTAGAGAAAGTGTTTTTTGTTATTTAATATATGGCAGTGGACGCACAGGATCTGCAACAAAATGTCGCATTATGTGGAGCAGGGGTCTCTCTTTATCAGTAATTTATTAAGATTTTTCATAATCTGTAACAGTGAATCAGGATAGAAAAGAATAAGAGTGACAAGCAACAGACCAACTTTACCAGCAGAAGGTGGGGGTGGCTTTTTCTTCCCTTTTTCTTTCTCTATTTCAGTATATATATATTAGTTCCATTGAGAAGGAAAATATGTCGGCCTCAAGGCAAGTGTTCTAGTTTTCCCGTTCTGGGAGTTTGTAAGGAAAATGGGAGAGCTTTGGATGAGTCTGAACCAAAGCTTCCCTCAATCTCTGCCCTAATCAGGGCCAACTTTACCATTAGGCGGTGTGAGATGGCTGACTCAGGCAGCTAGGTTTTTTTTTGTGTGCCATAAAGATGTACCAAAGATGTAGAAAGCCACTTGTGAGATTTTCTGCCTCAACTTGGCTGGCTCAGGGTTTTATGCACGTTGACTTGAGGGTGGTGGTGGTGGCGGCGGCGGCAGCGAGTGCTATTTACTACCCTGCCACATCAGCCAATTATCTCGGACAAGTCCTCCCAGTCTTTCCATGCAGGCTGGCTGGGGGAATGGGACAACGTTCAAGAGTGGAACTCCCTCTCTGAGGGTAGACCTCCTTCTCCATCCATAGATGGAGACTTGGATGAAGGAGATCAGCGTGGACCACAGGATTGTACCCTGAATTAGAGCAAAAGCTTGTTTTTTAAAATAAATAAACCCTGTTATTTTAATGGGAGATTCTTTTTAGGCAGTCAAATGTTTTATGGCATTAGTCATTGCTGAATTATTTCTATTTTTAAAAGCAGGAAATAATCCTCAGGTTTAAAAATTTCTGCTATATTATTACGTATACTCTATCCTTAGCAGCTGTTACTGTTTGTTCTCTCTCTCTATATATATATATGTATGTATATTCCTTCTACTATTTGTTCATGCTGTGTGTGGTCAGTACAATGTTTGAGTGACTTGAATATAATAATAAATTATGATCATGATGATATCTCTGAGTCTGTTTGGACATATGTTCAAAGAAGTATGAAATGACCAAGATTTCTTTTGATATTACAACACCACCCCCATTTTTTCATTTCCTTTCCTCTGGAGAGCTTTTGTCTTGCCTGCAAAATTCTCATCTGCTTCACACCTTGCCATTACAATAGGCAAAGCATTAGGGGGTAGACTGTACTTCAAAAAGCTTGTCTCATTATTACTACTTAATAAGAGGAGAAGTAAATAAATGTTCCAGCAAAAACAAAATCCCCACAGACAGAAAACGATTGTCTTTACCTGAATAAGAAATGATTTCTTTTCTTCTCTGTGGAGGGTGATCTTTTGAGGACAACAAAAATCTCTTGCAAATCTGTGGGAGCAAAAAATATTGTTTACTTGCTGGCTTGATACCATTTGAGATATGATGCTCATTTGTTTTAAAAAAATGAATAATACCACCTTACATCAATTTACCATTTGGAAGCTTTCATGTATTAAATAATAATCTCAGGTTGTATATGTGTAAATAAACTATATATCATAAATACACCAGGGTTTAGAGGATTCTGGCACACAGTCCCACACCCCAAATTCATTACAATGAGTAGATGCAATCATCATGCACTCATCTGGCAGCAAACCCACTTACTCAACACAGAACAGGTCCTACACCAAATGGTGCCCTAGGTGAGGAGCATCTTCAGCACCCCATCTTTGGAATCCAGCTCTCATCAGCCCCAGCCAGCATGGCCAGTAGTCATTGATTACTTGCAAACTTCCTTGAAGATGGTTTGGGATTTATTTTTTTTACAATCCTATCCAACAACACCTGGAAGACCACAGGTTCCCTATTCCTGATGCAGAAGAAGCTGGTTTACATTATGAACTGGCCCAACTCCTCATCCGATTTCTCAAAAGTTTCAAAAGTCAAAGTGCATGTAAAAATGGATCCTCTCTCTATATCAAATTTTAACAGACTCATTATTTCTCCATCTAAGATTCATTTCATCAGTCTCTTTTAATTATAGCATTATATATCATATTATCAACCAGTTCCATTTCAAATATGTCTTCCTCTCCAGTTATCATTACCTTTAGGAACTTTTTCCCCCAGGAAAAACTATTTTAAATTAGCAACATTAACACACTATTTTACCTTTTCTTGCACATAATGTTCTTAGATGTGAATTCACATACCATATATAGAAGTTGTTCTCAAGTCTGTTGTTTGGTGAGAGTAAAATAATACATGACTGGACATTGGGTGAATATCAGGGTGGGTGTTTGGAGCAGGTCAGCAATAACTCACAAGGTGTCAGTGAAGTTAACTCTTTATTCAAAGAAACTAAACCGTTCTGGCCCTGGGATCACAGCAACTCTTCCCAGTAGATCTTGTCCCAATGATGGATGTTGCAAGGACTTAAGGTCCCCACCTTCCCACAGCTCCTCCTCCCCTGGGTCCTCCCAAGGCAATAGGAGACTCCAATGTTTTGTCTGTCTCTGCTCCACCCTCTTCATACCTCTGCAGGTTCTGGGAGATCAGGGGGGAGAGGAGCTAGTCACAACAGGAGCTTCTTCATCAGCCTTCCTCATCTCTGTCCTCTGGTCCCCCTTCTCTCCTGCCTCTGATTCTGGACTGCTCTTGGTCCCAGCCTTTTCCTGCTCACTAAACCCTGTCACCTCTTCAGCTTCTAACATCTCCTCTGCCCAGTCTGCCCCCTCTTTTCCCTCTGAGCACTCAGCATCATCTCACCACCAATCTCCTGGCTCTGAGCCTTCTTCCCTTGGGGGTTCCCCAGCTGCTGCCTCCCACCACTCCTCTGAATCCAGCCAGTCCCTGACATTGGATTGGCTACGAAGTACCCCTTGCAGAATCAGCAGCATGGCAGCAAAACTGCAAGGGAATCTGCTGTAATCAAACTCCCATGGAAACAGAACTCTCCCACTTCACAGCAATTCCCTTTCTGAACTCCATCTAGTCATGCTTACATCTTGTTTAACTTTGCCAATCTAAAAATAAATCAGCATGAAAAAAGCATTAGATTTTTCATTTAGATTTTTGAATGCTTTTTCTCTCAGAGATAATATCCCTTGTCTGGAATTAAATGGCAGATTCTTCCCATGTTTGCTATGAATAAAGGAGCTGTGATTCTTTCATCCTTGTGGCCAGTCTCATTTTTGGTTTGTAGTTCTTTATAGGAAGCTTGTAGCTCTGTTTCTACCCCACCCACCCCCCAAATCAGCAAAGCATAATGTTCAAGCAACCTTTCACATGTAAGGAGACATTTCCAACCTATTTTGATGTGCTGGAAGTGGGCACTTTTAAAAATACTGCTGCTAGACTGTGATGAATTGTGTTACATAATCTGTATTTTCCAGGAGTTTTACAGAGACCTCAATAGCTGTTCACCTCAATTTGACACAAAATATGCTTTTCGTAGAGGTGAAATGAAGGCTTTGCAGCCTTTATTTACTTTCCTGAAGCGCTGGGATGTATTACACCATTCTAAGTTATTCAAATGGGTTTCCTTCATGCAAAGATTTTTCCTTAGACATTCACCTAGTATGCATATAGCAGACTAAAGACAGTTCTTTTGCTGGGTTGCCTCTTTGGTTTGGCAATATGCCAAAATGTATATTAGTACTTAAATATTATGCATAATTCACTAAATACAGTGCAATTCTGTACATACATGTCAATTCAGAAATAAGAGAACACTTCCATTCTTAAAAGTAGTTTTGTCCAGAGAGAGGTACACATACATAGATACAGGAGAGAGAGGTGCTTATTTATATGAACCAATATAGTTTTATGTTAAATAATGGGAGGCCAACCACCAATGGATACAAACTGAGATAAAATGGAATTCTTTCACATTAATTCCACACCAGCATGACCTCTGCAAGCAAGGTGTCATTAACTGCCTCTCTCTCTGTCAGACCACTTCATTTTAATTTGCATAAATTGGGATTTAGCGATGGCTCCCCCTATTTAGTAGCAATAATTAAAAAGCATTCAAAATGATCCCAGGGCATGCAAAATGGAGCAAAACATACATGCTTCAATCTGGAGCTCACTTTGCTCATGTACAGCTGGAATTCTGGCACATGCAGCTCCCCTCCTCATTAACGTCAATGAAGGCAGCGGGCCAGCTTGTGCAAAGAACTGCCTGTGAAACCTCTCTTGAAATTAACATGGGCAGCTTGTGAAGACAGCAGAGCTCTGTATGTTCATGCAACATTAAGAAACTGCTAGATCGGTGGTTCCCAAACTTTGCCCCCTGCTTGAAAATTGCTGAGGCCACTTAATGATTTCTTTTCCTGCCTATTGTAGCAATTGTAATGCACTGTGCTAGATGCAGAATGCTTTTTAGACATCTTTTGCCAGACACACTGTGGACTACCTGAATTAAGTTCACCGGCCATCAGTGCTCTGTAGACCACAGTTTGGGCACCCTTCTGGTAGAAAAAAGAAAAAAGAGAGGATATTATGATCCTCTAATTGTATTTTTTAAACTACTATAAAGAGTTTAAGGACCACTTTTTCTACACAAACATATGTTTGAAGTGATTGAGGTTTGTGGCTGAAGGCAGCTGAACAAGTCTTCTCTGGCTGTATAAGCAGTGAGTCTCTTCCTTGCAAGGCAACAGTTGCCTTCACAGTCTCTTCCATGCAGTTTTGATAGGCATTTACCTGACAGCTGCAGTGGAGGAAATAATTGGCTCTTGGGGATTCAGATTGGGCTCATAACCCAGAAGAATTTGTGGAACTTGTACTGCTAAGTTTCCTCTGTGGGGACCTAAGCCATATTAATTTTCTGGAACAGGAATACAGGATATATATTCCAAATAAAACGCAGTTATTGTGAAATGACAATTCCTTCCTTCATCTTATCTCAAGAGTTGTTTGTACTTCTCAAAGGACTGATCTAGTGAAAACTATTGTTGACCCTTGAAATGCCTTTGAGAAGGTTTAACACAGGATAAAGTTCACAATTAAGGAGTGCAGCATAAATAGTGAGGAAAGTAGGGGTAGGAAATCTTCAAGATTACATTCTTCCAGGGGTAAGTGTCGGTGTGCTTAGAAGAGTCTAAGGGGCATACCTTTCCCCTCAAGTGAAGGAGTTTCTAGAATCATAGAATTGTAGAGTTGTAAGGGACCCTGAGGATCATCTAGTCCAACCCCCTGCAATGCAGGAATATGCAGCTATCCCATACGGGGATAAGACCTGTGGCATCCTTGGCATTACCAGCACCATGCTGTACCAACTGAGCTGCCCAGACTATTTGTGTGCTTCTATAAAAGGGAACAAAATGGACAAATGGCAGGTTTTTATAAAGAGGCACAGGTAGTGAAGGGTGATGTTAGGAGGGGTGCACTATAAGCTATATGCAATTTATTCCATGGATAACGCCTTTTAGTAGTCAGAAGGACTTCTCCATCCCTAAGAAATTGATTCAGATAGCTGCTTCAGCTTCTGAAGCTCACAAAAAGTATTATTCAAAACTTTAGCTAATATTCCATATGCTACACTGATTTTATAAGACAACTGGCATTCATAGAACGAAGAGTATTCTTGTAGCTCTTAGTTGCAGTTCTTACTGCATATTTTATGGACTGGATCCCTTTCTTAATATTTCATCACTATAATTAAATTAAGTTCATTTTAAGATGAAGATTCATGACTGAAATGTAAAGGAATTATCTAATTTAATGCTGACTACATTCCTTCCTAGTTTCTTGCAAAAATCTAAAGAACAAGTCTTGGCTGCCTGCTGAATTTCACAGTAAACGAATCAATGTGCAACTTCGTCTTGCAAAAACTCTGAAATTCTGCTTATTGCATTGATCAGAGAATGAGAGTCTAGAGCCACATAGGAGCTTATCCTATTACAGTGTCTTCCATAATTTATTCCATGTACAATGGAGAAAGGTGATCAAATTTCACGTGTGTTTACTTTCTGGAAGACAACCACCTGCCTATTTGAAAGAGCAGCAGAGTACAAATATGGTTCAGAGTAATGTGTTTATCTCCTTGACACCTGAATCTTTAAAATCTCATTGTTGTCATTGCGTTGTACCATGCACATTGGATTTATAAGAAACAGTAATAACCTCATTCAAACATGAGGCAAATTATGTTGCTTGAGAGATTATACTATATGCATAAACATCTTACATTGTTTACATATGCTTAAAACTTCCACGTAACTCCTAGTGCCATTAAAAGTGTTGACAGAGCCTCCAAAAATAAATGGAAATCGTTGCTAATTGGGGTTTGATCGCCTATTTTGACTCTGGACCAGATGAAATGTCAGATTAGATGAGATGCCCAAAATCTATGAACACAATTCACCATGAACATTTTAAAACTGAGAAACAAATGTAGGATACCTGATTGGGATCAAAGGCCATAGTGCAATGGAGGGAGAGGAAAATGGCTTTTTAAACTTTCACTTGTGTAACTCCCTAATGAAGCAGGAATCTTTTCCCAGTGGAGGAAACAACAGCTTTGGGAGCCCTCTAAATTTGCCAATCACCGTCCCACCCCATGCATACAGCTTCACTAGTATTACTTGTAATTTATTTATTTAAATGGTGGGTCCTTTTCATGGATCTTCCATGTCACACCTAGTTTTCGTTGAGATGCTGGCAGAGCAATTTCATGCACATTAACTCAGAAGCACTTTTTACTTTGGGCTCTCCCACCACTCCTGCCAGCCCATTAAGTGTGTATTGTAGTCTAAACCTGAATTGGAGCTGTTCCGCTTTGGACTTGGGTAGGGGATTTATGATTGCATGTTCTTAATCATCACCACCTCCCCATATAGAAAACTGGATGTCAGAAGGGAATGTTCAATCTCCTTTTCTTACTGACACCTAGTTTCCTATGAGGAAGTACATTTTTTGTATGGAGAATCATACAAGTGGTGTAATTCAGAGACCCGTCAGTGAGCAATGGAGTGGAACAACACAGTTGTGTCCCTATCTCTGCATCTTTTATCTCTTCAGGAATGAAGAAATTGGGGTGGATGGGCTTGAGCACACAAACCACAGTGAAGGAAAGGTGGTAACAGCTGCTTCCCCTCCTCCCCACTTTAAAAATCTGAATCTCTCCATAGCTGCTTTACTAGACAGAAGACCGCCTTCACAAAAAGAGAATAATGGGACTTCAAGCAATGCATAATTCCACTGTTTGTCACACTTATTTCGAAAGGGTTTTTCTATAGAAAGGTGGTTTGAGGGTTTTATCCTCTAATGGAACTTCCTCAAAATTTCCTTACAAGTAGTACTTTAGGTACAATTAGCACTTTAAGTACATACTCCGTCAGGGTGCTTTCCTTTTGCACAAAAGCGTTATTCTAACCATCATATTCTATGCAGACAAAAATACCTGTTTTCTTCAATAAAATATGCTGACTTTTTAAACCCGCCCCAACAGCAATGAAAACTGCCTCTTGTTTTACTCTGTGGAATACCTTGTAAATGGGGGGGGGGTGTCAGTCTGAACCTATTCTATGGTGTGTTACTGTAATTCATGACATAAGTAAAAGGATTGGCATAGCTTTAAATATTACAGGAGACCCTCCATTATGAACTTGCTTGACATCCGTACCAGTCTGATCTCAAAATGTGTCCTGGAAGGCAGTCAGGAATTTGCTTGAGTTTTTCACACCTTGTAAAGGTCAGCACATGAAATCAAATTGCCAGTAAAATCTGTTCAACACCTGAATGGATGCAATCAATATAATGGCGAGATGATTTTAAGACTGGAGACAGACAATACAGTCTATAGGGAATTTTAACTTGCTGTTGCTGTTGGGTGTTTTGGTTATTTTATGCTTGGATTTGCTGATTCATTTGCATTTTATATTTTGGTTTTATGGTTCTCTGTGTCAGGGCTGACCCATGCATAAGGTGAAGCGAGATGACTGCCTCAGGTGGCAGGGTCCACCTGGAGCAGTAGATCCCAATGTTGATGTATCTTTGCCCCTGCTTGCTCCTGGTGTAGCTCTTCCATAACCCTTTCTTCCCTGACGGGGAAGGGAGTACCAGGTATCAAAATGTCTTTGGATGGTCCTGTCCATGATGGCAAGCTGACCAGTAGTAACAGAAAATCAGAGGAGGGGCTGGGGACATACCAATATCACAAATTTTCCTCATCAGGAAGGAAGCTGAATTTATTTGAAGGGAGTCAAACATACCAAAGCCAGCCAACTGTGTTTTATACTATAAAGGCAGAATACTTAGTGAATGAAATAATGTGGACACAAAGGAAAGACAAACATACCCCAGTGTACAGTACACAACCAAGCTAACATCCATCTTGCATCAGGTTGGCAGCAGCAGCAAGAAGCTTCTCTTGGTTTTCTGCTGTTTGGGGAGACTCCCCTCCCAACTTCCGGGTTGGGTTGGTCTGCTGGTTGGTGTAATGCATTTAATATTAGTTTCTCTACACTCTCACATATTTCTCATTAATTTCCACATCATTTGCTTTGTTTGTGTACCTGATCAGGAGCTTCTCACTGCAAGCTGTTTTTGTTGGAGGAGAGCAAATCTCAGCAGGGAAACGACAGGAAATGCCCTACATTCCTTTCACTGACTGCTTAGCATCAGGGATTAAGAGTCCTTAGCAACCTTGCTGCTTGCCAGAACCTTAAACAGCTACCTTCACATTTTGCTTTCTAGCTTTCTTTGTAAATGCCCAGCTGACTTGCTTTCTTTAAACATGTAAACCAAGTGTGGGGGGTGGGGGGCGGCAGCTTGGGGCCTGGTTCATGCATAACCCTGTACCACCTTCTTGACAGCCCTGCCTGGCATCTCCAAGAAGGGCTGGGAAAGACTGAAACTCTGAAGAGTTAGTGTAGAAAATACTGAACTACATGGACTAATGGTCTGACAATTAAAACACAATTTTATAAAATATGATCAGAATGAGAGCAAATGCAAATTATTAAAAAGCTGGAATGAATTGCATTTCAGTTATCTAGACTGTCTAATTACCAAATCACCTGCAGGATAAAAAGGGTCATTACTGTCCTCCTAAAACAACACAAGGCTGGCACTAGGCAAGTCTCTCTTGGAAAAGCATTCCATATTTGCAAAACGAGAATGGAAAATGCACTCTACCAAACCCTCAGTTACTGCCTGAGAAGAGCAAGTTTTAAGCACAGTTCATCTTACAGAAGAAGGGGCAGAAAGGCTGGAATGGGGAAACTTATTTCCTCAGTAAATCAAGCCCAGACTATTTAGGACTTTACAGTCCTACAAGTTACGTTATACCTGGATCTAACAGCTAACTAGTGTAGATGACATAAAATTTGATCCCTATGTCCAATTCACATCTGAAGGCATGCCACTGAATTCTGCACCTGTTGATAGTGTCATACAATTTTCTGGAACCTTGAGCAGTTACCACAAAATGGAAGATGGACACAAGAGCCTTATCTGTAGCCAGTACAGATATAAATGAAAAAACACTCCTGGTTCCTGAGTATAAACACAACCTGCACAGCAGATCCAGACTGAGGTCTTCTGAACCCAGTCTTTCAAAAGGGGCATGAGCCCATCTGAAACAAGCAAATACATGTCCCTAAGGGATTTAAATCCCAGAGAGAAATCACCTAAACCTACCTGCTGAGGACGCTCTGTAGTGACATGGTCAAAGATTATGTCCAAGTGGAATGGAGAAACTGCAAGGCTATGTCATGAATTCCTAACTCTAACAGACAATCAAACAGAATCTGATGGGCAATGCTACCAAATACATAGGTCTAGGATAAGGATGAGAAACATGTGATTTTCCAGATGTTGCTGGAATACAACTTCTATCATCCCTGACCATTGGTCATGCCAGCTGAGGGTGATGTGAGCTGGTGTACAACACCACCTAGATCAGGGTTTCCCAAACTTGGGTCTCCAGCTGTTTTTAGACTACAGTTTCCATCATCCTTGATCACTGGTCCTGCTAGCTAAGGATGATGGGAATTGTAGTCCACCCTTGGCCTAGGGGAGCATTGTTATGCTTTCCTTGTTCGACTTCCAGTTGCAGCCCAGCAACATTTGGTGGGCACCACATTTATTAAACCCAGACAACAGATTGTCTACCAGCATGACTTCATTTCCACAGCCTGAAACCTGATTGAAACGTGTTGCGTAAACCATAGCAGTAGCATTTGTTTTGCACTTACATCATGCTTTGTATTCTTGTCTGTTCCTTGCAGCCCCTTCCAGGTAGAAATGAAGCGTTGCTGGGCTCTGCTCTGCTTGGGAAGCCAGTGAGTCCCCACAGCATCCTTGATCATCACATGCTCTTTCACTCCAACGCAAAAGATTTTTATCCGGCACCTCTTGACCACACCTCCAGAGAGATACTTCTTGTCACAGGCACTGTTTTCCGAACAGTGTGTGCTACTGTGGGTCTTGCCATTAATGAGGTCTGCTGCTTGAACAGACATGGCTTTGTTCTCTTCCTTGGGTATTGAAAGGCTGCTTAAAAAGCCGCTGCTGTTCAAAACTTTCATTCCTCAGAAAACGTTTCCAAACTGTGGAGGTCTGTTAAATCCCAAACCATGAAAGTGAATATGAAATGTAAAAGCCCTGGGTTGCAGCCTTATTATGCTGTTCCAGGAAGACCCTTCAGATCCTGAAACGTTCTCGATTTCATCTGCTCACTTACAGTCTGGCCTCATTGTTCAGCGGCTATCAAGTAACTGAAAATTGACCTCTGGTTTCAAAGGTAGCTCTTTTAGTTCACATAAAAGCAATACGTCCTTAAAACAAGGTGTCCCAGACTCGATGCTGCATTGTTTCAGCCCCAAACTCCTGATTCCGAATAGTTTTAATGATCCTCAGAACCTGTAATGTACCAAAAATATTTGTAAAAAATCCAGAGTAACTGATAAAAGTACAGGATTGCAGACACCATTGATAGTCATTTGTAATTAACAAAATAAGGTTATTAATTATTATTTATTTTAAAGATTTCTAAGCCCACCCTATATCCTGGTGGATTCCACAGTGGTGTACTATTTTTATATAAATTAATAAAATAAAATTAATAATAAATTAATAATAAATCACATCATGCATTCTTCATAATTCAATAAAACTGGAATACAAAAAAACCAACTATAACCCATGCAGAGGCAATGAAACCAATTTAAGATGCCTGGGCAGATAATAATGTATTAACTTTGTACCAAAAAGATTGTAATGTCAGTGGCTGTCAAATATCCTTGGGCTGCACTGAGGCAGCACTTTATTCTGTTTTCCTGGCAAGTCCTTAGCTGATGATTTCCATGTTTTATGTGATCCTTCACATGGCATAGAAGCCAATTTTGAAAGCCTAGTGGAATCTTTTGGAAGTTTAGCACTCATTTGCATGTTTAATGTTTCCAGAAAAAACATCCATTTGCAACCCTGTTAACTTGGAAAGTGGTGAGACCTTTACATTTCACGTGATGAAATTTGGGGCAGTATCCTAGCATACAGTTCCTTCCCACCAGGCCTTTGGAATAGGTTGGTTGGCTGGAGCATAATGCTCTGGTTCTGTACAAACTTCATGTACATTTCCAAGCTCAGTCTAGGGTGATATGTGCAAAGATAGATGTTTCCCTCTCTCATGGAACTTTATTTCTTTTATTTATATAAGGCATCTATAACCTGTCTTTTAGCTTAGTAGGCTTTTAGAGTAGATTATAAAAATCAATAGTAAGAGGGTCCCTCTTATCAGGCTTACAAGCTAAAAAGACATGACACATGAGGAAGGAGGAATGGGAGGGAAGAGGGGGAAAGCGAGCTCAAGAAAGCGAGCTTTTAAATTGCTGTTCTTACAATACAGCTATAGTATAGAGTTCTGTCTATGAAGATTCCGCCTGGAGCAAAGCAGCTGGCTGTCTGGGCCATTCAATGGCTTCTGGTTGTTCCATTGGAAGCATAGCTTTACCTATCTTGCACCTGATGTCATATGATGTCTGGTGACTGACAAGTAGTCATAGCCTACAGGTAGTCATAGCCGAATTAAGAGGCCTGCAGTCAGAAGTCCCCCACTACTGCTGTATATAATTTGCCCTCCCCATCCTATTCTATATTAACCTTCTCTTCTTTCAGCCATCTCTGATCAATGTGAATTGCAAGGATATCTGGAAAGTAATATGACCAAACCCCAAGTCTTAAACACATTTACACTGAAAAAACTTGCAGTGATTTTAAGAAGCTTACTTCCAAGTAAGTTTGCCTAAAACTAGAGTTTGAACCCTTTGGGGTTTTGTGACATTAGCAGCATTGGGATTGTTATCAAAGTGTCTGTCCTTTTCAATGGCTAAACAACCTTGGGCTGGGTTGCTTCTTCCAGGAAAAGAAATGGAGGAAGAATGAGCCAAGCACATTACTGCTTCTGCCTGGCCAAGCCCTAAATTTCTCAGGAACTGGTTGTTTAATGTTATCATAAAACAGTTGTATTGTTAGCAATTGCAGCTGTTTTGTAGATAATCAACATAAATGAGCTCCAATCACTCTCATTTAATGCCTAAGGAATTAATTGATTTTTCTTGTGTGTGGTGCATTTAGATATGCAGTAGATGATGTGCATTTAGGTATTTAAAGAATAAACTCTTCAGAAAGAAAAGAGGGGGGAAAACCATGGGCACATGATTCCAGAATTTCATGTCTGTGAATTGTTAATCTCCTTATAATGAGATTAACATTTACAGCCATGAAAGATGTTCTACCGCAGGTTATGCCGTGTTTCTGAGCTTATCTGCAGGGGGTTGCACAGATCCAATAAAGCATTCAGCAGCAATAAAACAGATTACAGTGAAGTCATGAATTTGTAATTTGATTCCCTTTGGGGCAGTGATGATAGTTATTTTCTTTATTTCCTGGACATTTTTCTTTATACATACAACATTGCAGGTGTGTCAGTTCCTGTTCTAGGCTGCCTTCTTCAAAGAAAAGGGAGATTCAAATAGCCTTCTTCAAGCAGAACTCATAGGCTGGAGTTCCCTTGGGCACAGCAGTTTCTTATTGCTAGGACAAAACAAAACAATGGGATTAAGAGCCTCCATAATGGATATTTTAAAAGCCATCCAGACAATATCAATGTAAGGTGTTGCGTTCTGCTTATTGTTCTTATAGAAGATGGCCCATCAGCTGTGCTCTACAGTAGTGTAGTGCTCTACAGACCACCAATAAGCAGTTCAACAGGGAGCAGAGAAGGGGAACTAAATTCACAACTAAGGATAGGAAAATCCGTTTGTTTCAGTTTGTCTTGATTTCTCATTTTTCCAGTCTTCTATTCAGTCCTCCACATTTCCACATAAGTTGGCTATTTTAAAGTCCTCATGAAAATTTGTCAACATTTTAGTGCTCATTCCTCCTGATGTATGCAATTTTGCCTAATACAGTGGTACCTTGGGTTACAAACACCTTGAGTTACAAACACTTCGGATTACAGACTCCGCTAACCCGGAAGTAGTACCTCGGGTTAAGAACTTACCTCAGGATGAGAACAGAAATCGCACGCCGGTGGCACAGCAGCAGTGGGAGGCCCCATTAGCTAAAGTGGTACCTCAGAACGGTTTCAGGTTAAGAACGGACCTCCAGAACGAATTACGTTCGTAACCTGTATATACCACTGTATATACATTTTTGAAAAACAATTTATCCTAATGCATTTTTGCATGCAACTTTCACTCACATATGTACCTGTAGGCATACATTTTGCCTCAGTAAATGCATTTTTGTACACATTAGTTGACTGCAGAACAGCAGTGCAAAACTCAGATGTGTGTATATTTTGAAGGATTGTTTAAGTTTGTGCATTGTTTCAGAAAGTGAGAATTAGGTAGGTTCACTTCTAAATGCAGCAAACTAAATTCTGTCCCACTCCTATGGTCAAATCCTCCTGCAACAGCTGATCAGCATTGTTTAGTTGCTATCTGCCATGAGAAATCTGTGATCAGGTCTCATAAAGACAATTGCCTGGGGTGGGATGGCTATTTGAATCATAGCAACTTTGCTAGGGAGGGAGTTTAATTTGCTCTCACATGTCATTTGCTAATAAAAATCTCCCTTCTCTAATGCTGCTTTCATCCTCTGGACAATAAATAGATCTCTATTTTTACCACCACAGAGCCAACACCAGTTTTGGCAAGAAATGGGATTTAGATTTGGTAAATGGCTTGGTGGCATGATGGAAGAGGGTTAAGTATCTGCCACAGCACCACTGGTCCAGTCTAAGTTAGAGCCTTCTGCACTGTTTGCAAGTAAAACACCAGGAAACCCAGTCATGTATCTCGTATCTCCCATGCGGCATAGTTTGGTCCCAAAGGCACACTACTTAGCTGCAGCTCTGATGGGTGAATTGAACTGTTTATGTACATACAACAGCCATGTAGATGCTCAGCATCCAGTGGAAAATTAATGTGCATGTATGTCTCCTAGCTGGATCAGAACAAGAACAACACCACACCCCAGCAACAACCAACAGCCACAATCCTATGATGGTAACTTAGGCGTAAAGAGTCTTAATGAACTAAAGGGAACTTATTTCAAGTAAATGTGCACAACAGCAGGCTGCACATCTTTCTCCTACTTTTTGCTATCAAGGACGTAAATTATCATAATGATTTAACATGATGGCAATCACTTGGCCTTGAGAAGCAGAATTGATTTTGCAAAAGACAAATAATGACTGTGGGCAAGTTTTTCAAGGGTGTAAGTGATTTAATAAGAGACATGACTGCAGTCTTCCAAGCTACTTATTCCAGAGTAGTCTCATTGACATAAAAGGTTTAAGAAGCATATAAGGTTTGAGAAGTGTGTATTAGAGGTTTGTTCACATGCCACTGCTTTCAGGATTCAAATGATTAAACAGTAAGGTGCAGTACTATCCAAGTATTTTAAATATGATTGGGCTCCTAGTGAAAATGTCTCAAGCATTAAAAAAAACTAATTACTTCTCTAGCAAACCTGCCACTTTCTCGGCAGCCTACATAATCCTTCTTGGCCCTTTGGGAAATGTGGTGAGACACAAAGATCCAGTTCACATGCAATGTAACAACAGGCCAAACCATGGCTTCACGTGACAGAGAAAACATGTAGGTTTTGGGAAATAATATTTCATTGCAGCACCCTTGACTCCTCCAGTTCTGGACTGCTGTGATTTAAGCCATGATTTGACTTAGCATTTTGTTTGGTATATCTTTTGCAGACAAACCATGAACAAACCTTATCTGCAGTTTTGTCTGGAATGAGCTCAACTATGAGACCAGGTATAGACATAATGCTAGGTTTGGCCTTGGATGTTGTGGCAACAGCAGGAGAGGAGCACTGTAGTCACTATCTTCGCTCTGGGAAAATGCAGGCTTGCTCTATCATGTTAAATCATGGTTTGGCTTAATGCTACATACCAGCTAGGCAAAAGTGCTCTCCAAACTGTAAAACCATGTGGTCC